CATCTCCAGAGCTAGGGTGGGCCTTCGCTAGCAGTGGTGGCTCTTCCGTCCCAAGGACCGGCCCATAGATTTCCCCTGCTCTCCTCTCCTCTGCCTTCCAAGCACCCGCACATCAGGCACTGGGCTCAGCTGTTCCTCCTCTTCCTCATCAGCCACCTCCAGACCTGGGGGCTGTTGATTCTCCATCTGAGGGCTGATAAGACAGCCCAGGCTCCACCTCTGTCTCTCTGTCTCTGTCTCACTCTGTCTCTGTCTCTCTTTCTCTCTCTCTCTCTCCCTCTCCCTCTCCCTGTCTCTGTCTCTCTCTTTCTCCTTCTCTCTGTCTCTCTCTCTGTCTCTCCCTCTCTCTGTCTCTCTGTCAATCTCTCTCTGTTTCTGTCTCTCTGTCTCTGTCTTTGTCTCTGTCTCTGTCTCTCTGTCTCGATCTCTGTCTCTCTTTCTCTCTCTCTCTTTCTGTCTCTCTGTCTCTCTCTCTGTCTCTCTGTTTCTGTCTCTCTGTCTTTGTCTCTGTCTCTCTCTCTCTCTGTCTCTCTCTCTCTGTCTCTCTCTCTCTGTCTCTCTCTGCTAGCTCCATTCCCTCTTCCCCCTTGGAGCTCCCAGGTTGTCCTGATGCTGACCCCCATGCCTCCTCCTCCTCCTCTGATTTGGCTGCTGGAAGAGCCAACAGCCAACGGTCAACAGGCCACAACACACACACACACACCGTATTAATCACTGTTCCTCTACACAGGAACAGAATACATAGCAGAAAGAGGAAACTTGAGAGAGCCCCCAAGGTCAATGCTATATGGACAAAACTGTGACTGAATCTGGATGTTCTGCTTCGGGGACCACAAAGCCACCGCCCAGGTTGTAAAGAGGATGGGTAGCGTCCCAGACAATCCTGTGGAGCCTGCTCAAGCTCAAACGGCACACGTGGCTGGCCCCTGTGTCCCAGGCAGCAGCTTTACTGCTCTTTTTGACAGGTGCTGCCAACTGAGCCTGAAATTCTTCCACTGAAAAGAAACACCGTGAAGTTGCCAGATTTCGTGATTGGATTACAGTGTCTCCTGCTGCTCCTCAGTCCATACCGATTAACGCTGTCGTGTGGGAGGCTGGCTGGCTGCAAAGAGAGAAGCAGTCTAGCTGCCTTTAAAGAAAAGATTTACAGCCACCTCCTTCGGTTTCTTCCCTGTGAATTTATAGTTGATGTTCCCCCTAGGGATGGGCACGACTTTTAAAAATTGCTGGTTTAAGGACAGCATAGAAAGAGACAATGCCGTGTTTGTTCTTGTTCCCAGCGTTAAGGAAAGTTTGACTTCACTGCCAGTGCCTTTAAAACCAAAGTGTTTCTAGTGGATTTGACATGAATTTAAAAGATTCCTGGTTTGGTTTGGTCTGTGCTCTTGGGAACCTGGTGGAAGGTTTTAGCACATGGCCCTGATGCAACCGGGGGGTGGGGGGCATGATGGCTCAGGGGTTAAAGTTGCTGAGCTTGTCATCTGGAAAGCTGATGGCCCAGGTGTTCAACTCAAAAATATTTCTCTACCCACCCTAGCTCTGGTCTTTTAGAGTTGTGAGCAGAAAGGGAGTGGGGGGAGCAATGCATACCTTAAATATTTTCATAGATAAATTGCTAGGCGGGTGAAGCTTCTGGCACGCAAGATTATTACTGGAGAGCATGATTGATGATTCTTGGCTAGGAATGTGTCCCATTGGAGAATATACATCCAGGGGCTGGGGGAAAGTCAAGGGTGAGATAAATGTTGTGTCTCAGTGTCAGCTGCACCCAGGTAACGCCGACATGTTGACTCCTAATAAATGATTTTTTTTTTAAACTCTGGGAGATGAGGCTAGGGACTCATGATTCGAATGGGGGTGGGTGGGT